TTTAAAAAATCTGTATTTAATATATATATATTTCACTTACCTCCCAATGTTGTCCAACAAAACAATACATATTAAATGCTATGAAAACAAATAAAGTGAATGTAACCATGTAAGCCTTTATATTATGTGCAAAAACGGGTTAAAATCACATTTCATTCTAACATTGTAACATTGCAATCTAAAAACAAAAATAAGGCTTTTAAAGCGGAAGTTAAATTCACTAAACTGAAAATGAAAATAGATGAGAGCAAAAGCACAGAGTTGTGTTAGGCTATTTTGATTACCCCATTACTGTCACTTTACACTCAGTGCAACGCATGCGCGCGGCGGCGCTCGTTCACTGAAGTTTAGCGGAGAAGTTTAGCGGAGAATCCCAAAGCAGAAGGCTGATGCACTTCTGACAGAAAAATGGAAATATTTCCATGGCTTTCTAACATTTACAGATGGAGAATATACCTGTGAAATGTAAGTTATGCATTCAGGAAGACAGCACATCTCAAACACATTAAACAGCGTGAGTGGCCTAGTGTCTCTGTCAGCGGCACACACAGCCTTTCTGTCAGAGCATATGAAGGGCCGAGCCGCTTAAACTAATATGCCAAACGAAACTATAAACTATGTCTTACCAGTTTTTAAAGGCCTTAATATGAAGCTTGTCACATGTTTAGAACAAATTGGATTATGCACTTTCTCCGCAGCAGCTCAGTCTGTGTCCTCCGCTATATTTTCAGATGCGCTCATATCAAACTACTGTATATCGATATAAACGGTATTGCCTCATATCAAATCGCTTATAAAGAAAATATCAGTATATCGTACAAACTCGATATACCGCCCAGCCCTAATTAACAATAACAATACTGCATGTTAAAATAAATAAATAAATAATATTTGTTTAAATAAATGTATTATAAATATTAGTTTTAATAATAATAATAATAATAATAATAATACATTTAGCAGTTTACAATTTTTTTGAATGCCATAATGGGTTCTATGTGAACAACTTGTCACTTGTTTTGTACTCTCAGCTCTCATCAGGTGTAGTTTGTGTTGCCTGTTGTAGCAGGTGGGCTGCACTGATTGTGGACTTGGAAAAACATAAAGGTGGTACATCAAGCTTGAATTGTTCTGATTGTAGAAAAATTCCTTTAAGCATGATCATTTATTTATTTATTTATTACTAAACAAATTAATAAATTAAATATTAAATAAACAATAATATTCATTTAATTAATTAACATTATTTTAAGAATTATAATTTTAAATGTCAGAGTAATATATCAAAAATAACAGACCAAATTTGAGTGCATGGATAAGTGCAGTCTTAAGTGCTTAATTTCCTCCTCTCTCTTCTTCATCTCCACCCCTGAGTATAGATGGAGCTCCCCTGCCTTTTCTCTACCTTTGCTTCTACCTTTTCAGTGTCTACAAAAGAGGTGTAAGGAGATGGCCCTGAGACCGAGCCCTGTATTGACACAGCAGAGACTCGCCGGTGACCCTCTCCGCATTGTAAAATAAATCATCGCCGCATTCTTGCTTAACAGGCTTTTTTAGTACGTCGGAATCTATTTTCCAACCCCCGGCTCTCCTTGACCCAGAGGTCTTCACAATTTGTGAGCAGCTCGTGTCTGCTTTACACTTTTTTTCAAAAGGGGGTTTTGTTAAATATCGAATGTAATAATCGTTGTTTTTCTTTTTTTCGCAAATCCACCTTGTTCCTTTTGTGTCGTCAAATGTGACAGGAAACAACAGCTGATTAAGTTTCACCGTCTGACACCACAAATTCTCGTTTAATAGAATAATTGAGGAGAATGATCAAAGTGTTAGTATACAGAGACAAAAAAAAAAGTCACCGAATATTTCAATTCTACCGGGACTATAAAATCTGTTTCGCTCATCTGTACAGTTGATGATCTCAAAGGAAACGTGCGAGTGAGAATATGTAAAACCAGCCATTTGAGAGAGAGAGAGATCAGATTCACATAGCATGCCATTTATTCCCAATGTGCACCAGCCATTAGTTAAGACATGGGAATATTTTGCAGTCAAATACTTTAGATACCATATAAATCTGTTTGTTAGCTTTATCTGATGCGAAATTATGTATAGTTACTTGTTGAACATGAGAATACTTGTAATAGTGAAATATTAATAATGCCTATATTGTGATCTCTTGCTTAGAGTAGCAGATAATTGCAATTCACTTGATGATAATTTCCCTTTTTAATTTTTTCTTTTATATACAGTAGATCATTTCACCCCAAGAACATATTAAAACTGAGCATAAAAAAATCGTTATATAATTTAGTCTGTTTTTACTTAATAATGGTCATCCTTGTTTTTATGACCTTTTTTTTCCTTTGGCAAATGTGTCCATTTGCATTGCTTTCATATGGAAATAGTATCTAATGTATTTTTATATTGAACATTAGGGCTACATCACTTTAAAACCTTGAGAGGAAAACAGCTAAACTGCTTTTAAGAACAGCAACTTTAAACCAGTTCCTTTCGATGCTGGAAATGCTCTTTTTCTAGTAGCTTTCTGTGATTTTTACCTGGAATAAATTGATTTGATTTTCCAGTTCCATTCATTAAAGGTACAGTGCACTCAAAGTGTGGGAGAGGTAGAAAAGAGTGTCTGTTTGCAAATCGGACGCATTACTGTTGACTCCGAGCTGTCAGAGCTTTTCTATTCTCTTCATTAACTCTGTCGTCACGCTGATGGTGTTTGTTCAGAACATACTAGTGTGCTGTGTGTGTGTATATATATATATATATATATATACATTTGTGTGTGTATAGCATTTTTATGTCAATACATTTTAATAAAATTAATTTGTAATGTTTCTTTTAGAATGTTTCTCTATAAACATAAAAAATATATAATATATTATATTAAATAATAAATTATTTTTTAATATTATAATTAATGTATATATAAATATGTAATTTTTAAATAATATTCGAATGTAATGTACAAATAATTTTGTTACTGTTACTTTAATTTATTGTCAACAACACATTATAACAAGACCAATATACTAAAAGCACTTAACACAACTCTCAAAAAAACAATACAATACAATAGACTCAACATTTCACTTAGCATGCACAGAAGTCATAAGAGCTAATGCATATTCACCAGTGAAGGGTTGGAGCTTGTGCCATGCTCGTGCTGGGAAATGCAGGCGGGTTTTTTTGTGTTCACTCACAGCCAGGCTGGAGAATAATAACTAGCAGGCCAGGAAACAACTGGATTGGATTGTATGATGTGGGGAATACTGACATACAGAAAATATAGATATAAACACACACACACACACACAAAATTATTTATAGTTGCAAAAAAAAAGTGTAATATAGTGTAATGTATATTTTACATGTAACATTTTATATAATTTTTGTTAAAATGTAAATATGAATATATAATATTTGAATAATGTAATAGTTATATTTATAATGTAGAAAGTTTAGGTATATTGTTATTACTGTAAAAAATGCAAAGTGTATGAATAATGTTTATATAACTTTATTCATAAATTTAGCATATTGCATGTTAATGTAATAAATTAGCAATGTTTCTTTTAGAAAACTTCTTCTCAGAATTTAAATATATTCAAATTTAATGTACGACATTCCTACATGTACATAGTTTAATGTAATATATATATATATATTTATTGAATTTTTTTAAATAACAAATTAATATAATTTTCAGCAGTGAATTTTTCTTTTATATATTTTTTGTCATAAAAAAATGACATTTCAGGCTTAGCAAATTGGCATTGCTGTGACATAATAAACTTACTGCTAGAAATAAAGGCTTTAAATTTGATGCATATTTACGAGTTGTCGGCTCACGCCACTAAAATAAAACAGCATGAGTTTATAGTACTGTGTATGTCATTCAACATGTATCACCCAACATCCCCGTTTTCTCACACAGTCTAAATGTAATTTGTTCTGCAAGGGTGGTCGTTTCCTTTATTGCTTTATTCCCGCAGCCCCCTGTATGATGTGACGGATGAGAGGTTAAGACGCTCTCCTTACTTTGCCGACTCTACGTGTCACTTGCAGGACCCATTACGTGTGAAAAACTGGAACATTTTGCTTACCGGCACTCATTGACTTTTATGCAATGCCGGCTGTTTGCTTTCTTTATTCCCAGTCCGGATTGAATTTCACCTTCCTGGGGCTAAGACTCATGCGAGCACAAAGTGTTTTGTATGAAGTGTTTAGTACTGAGTCATGACATTTTAACCATGTACCCCCGCCTTGTTATCCACAGGTTCGAAACACAGTCAACAGAATCAAAGAAAGAAGAAAAGCCTTAAATTTCTCCGTAAGTTCTTGAATGTTTGCATGTTTTCTCAACTACTGGAGGCCTCTACTCTTTATATCGTGCAAATTTCATAACGCAGTGCATGTTTTGCCCCTGGTCCCATTTCACACACCCACTCAGGCCACCTCAATCCAGCCAATGTCAAGCAGCAGCCCTGGGTTACATGTTTCTAATCCTGTGGAAGCTCGTCCCTTCACATTAAACTGTCAGGCCAGTATTTATACGCGAGGCTGCTGTTGACGGAGATCACTTAGCTTCACCAAAGCGGTTTAAAAGTAGTTAATAGACACCCCCCCTTCAGCAAAGCACCTCACCTCCAGCGGTTCCTCTATGAATGGCCACATTAACTCTCCTCCGGGCTTGTCACGGTTTATGGCCTACGGCAGTTTGTCCCGCTCGGCCCTTGCCGTGCCACCAGGTCATTGAGAATGGAATGAGACAATTTCTAAAGGTGGATTGATTTTAGAATATGGCCCCCTCCCTCTTCCCTTTGACCCCCCTGACAGGCCCGACACTGTTAAGACTGAGACTTGTAAAAAACGACTGCGGCCCCAAACGCGAGTGCCAGGTAGCAGCTGATAAATCGTGGCGGGTCGTATTAGCAGTGGGACCCTTGAGCGCTCTCTGGGCAATTTTCCAATTTTCGAAGTCCACTCGATGAGATTCGCTGGCCGCGTGAGGTGGATGGTTTTTTAGCTAATGCCATTTTGCGTCATAAATCTAGAGGTGATATACTGTATCTCGCTGAATAGCTTCGGTGCTGGACGGGGTCCAGAATGGGATAGGAAAATGTACTCTTCTTTATTGGATGAGAGCAGTGGTCAGGGAATGTACTGACTTCCAATATAGTATTGATAACGTACAGGACGTGCTGTAGATAGATGGGTTTTTACCTGAGGGGAACCCTTACGATTTTCTAACTCATCGTAGAGTAAACTGATGTTTATTTTTGTAACTGTCTACCCATCCCAGACCACCATAGCAACCACTTAGAATGCTCTAGCAGCCGCCCATAGAGCACCTTACACTGGCCTAGCAACCACCTAGCAACAGCCTAGTAACCACTCTGAACACTCTAGCAACACTGTGACCAGGCATCCACCTACTGTATGTTGTTCTCTGTTTGCCATTCTGTCTGTCTGTTGTTCTGTCTGTCTGCTTGCTTGTGTGTTGTCCTGTCTATTTGCCATTCTGTCTGTCTGCATGTCTGTCTTGTTCTGTCAGTTTGTCATTTTTTCTGTTTGTCAGTTTGCTTGTCTGTTGTTCTGTCTGTCTGCTTGTCTGTTGGTCTGTATGTTGTTTTGTCTGTCTGTCTGCTTGTCCGTTGTTTTGTCTGTCTGTCTGCTTGTCTGCTGTTCTGTCTGTTTGCCATTCTGTCTGCTTGCTTGTCTGTTTTGTCTGTCTGTCTGCTTGTCTGTCTGCTTATCTGTTGGTCTGTCTGTTTGCCGTTCTGTCTGTCTGCTTGTCTGTTGTTTTGTCCCTCTGTCTGTTTGTCTGTTGGTCTGTCTGTTGTTTTGTCTGTATGCTTTTCTGTTGTTTTGTATGTCTGTCTGCTTGTCTGCTGTTCTGTCTGTTTTCCGTTCTGTCTGTCTGCTGTTCTGTCTGTTTTCCATTCGGTCTGTCTGCTTGTCTGTCTGTCTGCTTGTCTGGTGGTCTGTCTGTTTACCGTTCTGTCTGTCTGCTTGTCTGTTGTTTTGACTGTCTGTCTGCTTGTCTGTTGTTTTGTCTGTCTGTCTGCTTGTCTGTTGGTCTGTCTGTTTGCCGTTCTGTCTGTCTGCTTGTCTGTTGTTTTGACTGTCTGTCTGCTTGTCTGCTGTTCTGTCTGTTTGCCATTCTGTCTGCTTGCTTGTCTGTTTTGTCTGTCTGTCTGCTTGTCTGTCTGCTTATCTGTTGGTCTGTCTGTTTGCCGTTCTGTCTGTCTGCTTGTCTGTTGTTTTGTCCCTCTGTCTGCTTGTCTGTTGGTCTGTCTGTTGTTTTGTCTGTATGCTTTTCTGTTGTTTTGTATGACTGTCTGCTTGTCTGCTGTTCTGTCTGTTTTCCGTTCTGTCTGTTTTCCATTCGGTCTGTCTGCTTGTCTGTCTGTCTGCTTGTCTGGTGGTCTGTCTGTTTACCGTTCTGTCTGTCTGGTTGTCTGTTGTTTTGACTGTCTGTCTGCTTGTCTGTTGTTTTGTCTGTGTCTGCTTGTCTGTTGGTCTGTCTGTTTGCCGTTCTGTCTGTCTGCTTGTCTGTTGTTTTGACTGTCTGTCTGCTTGTCTGTTGTTTTTTCTGTCTGTCTGCTTGTCTGTTGTTTTGTCTGTCTGTCTGTATGTCTGCTGTTTTGTCTGTTTGCCGTTCTGTCTGTCTGCTTGTCTGTTGTTTTGACTGTCTGTCTGCCTGCTTGTCTGTCTGTCTACTTGTCTACTTGTCTTTACCATTCTGTCTGCCTATCTTAATTAATCTATCTCAGTTAATCTGTCTATCGTTCTGTCTGTCTGTCTTTCTGCCTATGTATCTATCAATGAGTCTGTCTCAACAAATTTCGTCTTTTTTTCTCTCTCAATTCATATTTTTTAAGCTAGTGGTAAGGATAGTACACTTTAGTTTTAAATCAGGCTTGTAATTATGATCTGTATCTATTTTCTCTAGACTGTTATTCAGTGAATTTAAATGATGATGCATTGAGTCAAGTAATTATACAGATGATTTCTCAAGGATTTTGTACTACTCCAGTCTCCATGAATGTAGTTACTGTAAATGGCAGATAATGAATATACAGCATGATATTAAAGTCCCATTTGCTGAATATATGTAGCGGCTTATTAAACATCTCTCTCCTTCTCTCTATAGTTTCCGTTCTTGCCGTTCTTGTTTATTCATGAGCCAGACCAGTGCTGCCAGGGCGCTTCATACCAACTGTCGCCTGACCCGTGTGACCTCACACTTGTACATACTGTGGCAGATTGCTTGAGAAAAATAAAGCTGTCAGTTGCACCGGCCAAATGAAAAATGAACGTGCTGCGATACTAGCAGTGTCTAGATCACTGACAGCCCTGAAATATAGATATAAATTGGAAGCAGATTAATTTTTTTGATCCTAATTCAAGTTTTGACAAGATATAAGACTGAAAAGAGAGAGATGTATACTACATATATGTGAATTTCCTGTTGTAAAATGTGCACTCTTATGATTTTAAATGTTGATATAGTGCTAGGTTATGCATTTACTTCTTTCTGAAAAGAAATAAACGTCTTCAGACGCCATCTTAACCAGGGCTGCATGTCAAAGCCCATTATATGTCATTCTGTGATACGAGGGGTAAAGTTGTGGGTTTTTATGTCAGATCTAGTTTACATTCCTGTGAGACTTCTGTGGATTTTTATTTTGTGGTACCTCCATACATGACTGTGTACTTTTTGGTCATTTATCATGTAATGCATAACTACCTGGGTCTCAAATATGACGTTTTTATATTTAACATTAGTTTTTGTTGTTTTTCCTCCATATTTCTTCATATCCATACCAAATCTAATGCACAAAAATATCTATTTGACAGTATATATGATATAGTAAATAGAAAAATGCAAAACAGAAATATTTTCATTAATGATCTCAGACTGTACCCCACACTATATTGATAGTAGAATGCATTGTCCTTTTTTGTCAGAACTGTGCCAGTTCCAGGCCCTCCAGTTCAGTGGGCAGTTCTCGGCCGGGCAGCTCTCCAGTACCAGGTGTTTTGGATGGGCAAACAGTCACCTACTCCAGCAGCTCATCGACCCACAGCGACAACATCTCCCAGAGTTACAACAAAACAAGTGAGTCGTTGGCTTATTTATTGATCAACCCCAAAAAAAACGAAGCATCCTTGTAAAGGTTGATTGGCCAGCTCAGATGATGTACTTGTATATTTGGGTTTGTGCATATACGTGTGTGTATTTTCAAATGCCAATGTGTTTATATAAAGCAGAGCTTTAAAAATCTGTGCTAAATTATGCCGAGAGCAAAAGTAGTGATTGGCAAAGAGGGTGAACTCTAAGATGACAGGCCTGTTCTGGGGTTGTAACGTTCTCCAGACACAGAAAAACGACGGGATCCAATCGCCTTCTCTGACCCCAGCATTTCAAGACTTAATCGTAGTAATCTCAAAGGGAGTTCACACAAGTGAGAGATTTCGCGAAGAGAGAAGGGAGCGAATGAAGGAAGTTATTTTGTGAAAAATATGTAAAATCATATTATTATTACACAGCTGGCCAACCTATAATGTATAGGCACTCTGTATTTAATTTAATAATTAAAATAAAAGTATTTAAATTAAATTAAATTAATAAAGTATTAAATGTAATACATATCGACTTTATTATATTGATACTCCATATTTAATTAAATAATAAATAAAATAAAAGTATTTAAAATTAAATTAGTATGTTTGTTCATTTTAGGTTTATTTATACTCTGTATTTACAATATTGATACTCAAAATAAATTAAATTAATACTTTCATTAATTTAATGAAATGAATACTCCATATTTACTTTACTGTATTGATACTCCATATTTAGTTAACTAATTAAAATAGTTATTGAAATTAATACTTCATTTATACTCCCAATTTACTTTAGTATATTGGTACTCCATATTTATATTGGTATTATATATTATAAACATTATTATTTTTATTATTTTCTAAAGTAAATTTACATTCCATATTTACTTTGATACTCCATATTTTCTCCATTGATTAAATAATTAAAATTAATTTTAAATCATATTAAAATAAAAGGTGTACTTAAAAATTATTAATTTAATTTTGACACTCTATCATGTGTCCTTTTTTCGTAGCTTAGCTTTTCTCGGTCAAAAACCGTATGAAACATGACATGGCCAATCAAAGAGCAGAATCAGACACATGCACTAATTCATTTTGATTGGCAGCTGGTATTATCCAGCCCATTACTCAAGGTGAATTTGAAAGGAATGAAATGGCAGTTTTAGTGGGCGTCGCACGCGCAGACCATATGCATATGCAGAAGGGGCCGTCCCGTGCATATAAGTGATGCAACTAATCATCTTGACGAGACTCGCCTGGACTCTCGCCGTAATCGGTTGCGATGCGGGCCATGATTGAATATTTGTTTTTAATGTGGAGCAATTTTTTAAACCAGTCAGCCAGCCACACGACTAAGTGCTATGAAGAAACGTATGTATAATGTAACCAAAAGGAAGAGAGCCTCTCATACGCATATGAGCCCAACTGTTAAAGGCCTTGTGTCGTAACAAATAGGGTCGAGCCCACAATAAATGCTGCTGTATGTCCTGATTGTATATAACTGATTGTTGTGTCTCTTCAATTCAAGGTCAAGTAATTCTCGAGTGTGAGAAAAAGCGTTTACGTTCACTTTTGATCAATTCGTGTCTTTTCATCCTTTGAGGCAATGGTTTCAATCCGCCAATTACGAAAACAAGAACATGCTATAAGCAAAAGAAAAGCAGGAAAGGA